TTATTCACAAAATTAAACGCATGTATAAACAATATGGCGTACATTAATCTTGAAAGAAGAACGTTATGTTCCTTATCTTGATTAAGTTATTGTTATAATTGCATACAATAATGATCTCTTGTAACAATGATAGAAATAATCAAAGCACTGAAGTACAGATGGTCTGGCTATATAAAACTGTATGGCTAACTCGCTTTATAACGTAATGTCGTTATAATAAAGATGCAGTGAGTTACAATGTAATAAGTATTTAAAATATACACAAGTAGAGATTTTGATGCTAAAGCATCAAGTCGCCGGATAGAAAATTAATTGTATTATCATAAATATAAGTTAATATCAGTTTAATGGTTCAAGTATAAAGAAGAGAGGAACAATATATTGAGTAATATTTATTCATAATACAAGATCATATTTAAAGCAAACTTGCTTAGCAATATTGTCAAGAAACTGTTATCATTATTAAATAAGCAAGTATTGTTTGGCAATATTGACATGAGATTCATTAATTTTCGGGGATGCTTGTTAGTTTACGTAACTTATTAAGATTAATGTTAAAGATTTTATTGAAAGTATAATTATATATCAATTAATACTGCTCGATGGCCTAGTGGTAAGTATGACCAAGTTGTGACCTAGTAGGCGCAAGTTCGAATCTTGGACAAAGCCTATTTGTAGTTTTCATATATTGATTTCATAATTTTGATAAATTTTTATTGCCATGTGTACGAATTTACATTGTGATTAGCAGGCTTAATACATACTGGTAAAGTTTTGCAAAATATAGAAAACATAAAAAAATCACCTCATCGAACCTACAGTCTTTCATTTGAAATAAACTAAAAATCTTACACCTTGCCATCGAGGCTTATAAGGCAAGTGATATGCTAGTAATAATACTTGTAATTCTACTTTATACATATACCGTTGTACCATACATTGAAATCCAAATTGTTCAGAATCCGATAATGACCAACAAAAAATTACCAATCATCGAATATTTGCAAAGAAACTATGAAAATATATATGTTTAATTATTGCATGAAACAATGCAATTCTACTGTAAAAGTGGTGTCTGAATAAAAAATTATTCTTAAGCGATATCGAAAAAATACATGTATATAATATCAATATTCCCGTCGTTACATCCGATATAGTTAACGTTTAATTAATTGCCTTTCAGTGCGATAAAATATCAACATGAAGATAATTTAGATTAAAGAAGATTATACTTTTCTCTATGTAGATCTATCTAATACGATTCCGGATCCAGGGATATTCTCCCTACAGGAAACCTGTGCGACGGAAATCGACGGACTATAACGAAATCAACGTTTACCACTCAATCGCAACTACTCGGCCCTTTCCGTCAGTCTTCGGATAAGGATGATTACCACTAGCATACATTTATTTTGTAATCTTTAACCTAAACTTAACGTCAGCAGGACAGAAACCCTTTACCAAGAAAATCTATTTTAATGTGTAAAATATGAGTATCTAGACCTTTCTAATGATATAAAATATGAAACTGATTAACGAAAAATAACTTTGTAATTATTCATACAAAATTACTATGATTTTCACTTTATCAGCTGCCATACATCGCAAATTACCTGTATGGCTTATCAGCAATTTGTTACTATTAATAGATTTTATAACAATAACATACAACGTGTAGTCACGTGATTCTTGCAAAAGAATAGGGAGAACCTGTTAATTATTAAATACAATAATAAAATCGAATAGGTCTCATAAGATATAAACAACCAAATAATTTGAAAGTATCATTTCAAATATAATGCACGATTTATTTGTCATAAAATAGCATCGCATGACACTTAGAAAAAAGTAAAAGTATCACTAAGTTTAATGACTTGTCCATAGGGATACGTTCTTAATTCATTTTATAAAAAAATGCACAGTTGCTTTTTAAGATGTCAATATTTGTATATTTCATTTCTTTGAGCAACGTTATTATATGTTTGAATTTTAAAGATTACTAAAACATAAATGTGGTCTTTAATTGTTCAATAATTGATATGCTTTTATTCTCAGTTTTAAGGCCTTCTCCTACCATAGGTATAATATTAAACTGTAACAAATATAGTCGCCGGTTTCTACTGGCGACTAATAAAATCAATGCAATCTGTACTACATTAAGGAAGAAAAGGAATATCAGGAAAACGATTTTTGAACAAAGGTGGTCGTCTCAATCAGGAAATGATATTTAGGTATATTCAAGCTGAAAATGCTTGATAACCACGTTTATACCTAACAACAGCAAAAAAAACTAACGTTTGAACTTGTTAGTAATGTATTTTTTTTAAAATTTTATTCTAAGGACAAAATTCATTAAGATAGATGAATTGAAATGTTTTCAATATATGTTTCCATTTTCTTCTTAAATGAAAAGCATTTTCTTTCTAAAAAGGTAAAATTTTAAGCAAATTTGGAAGGTGAAGTCTTTGTTAGAACGTTTGTCATTTGCATCTCATGTACGTTAAGTTGTTAACATATAGAAAAACGATATATACATGCCAACTGTCATAGTTGTCAACTTAACTTTTCTTCTCAGAGTCAGGTAACAAAAAACTTTCGCTAAACGTTTTATGTCACGAACCATTGACATTTTCAAAAGCAAGATTGAAACAAAGTGATCCCCCGGAAGCATTAATCACAACAAAATTACATGAAAATTGCAGACTCGGTTTGATTGAGTCTGTGCATGAGGGATAATGAAAACCAGTCAGTGCAACATCCCTAACGCCCCATAGCACCGGCTTGAGCGGTACTCGAGTCTCAACACTTAATAGTGCTGGCATCAATGATCCCGAAGGACCAGCAAAATATAACAACACTTTTGTGAAGAACAGGCTGCCCTGTCCAATGTTTTTGATTAGATAGAAACGCAATAATAATAAATCTAACGATAGTCGATGTTTATGATAACCTTATGTTTTGTTTCTTTGGTTTCTGTCACACTTGGACTATAAAAATGGTATAATGATATTCATACTTGTAATAGCATAGCAAACACAGCGTATCGCTAATGCAAAAGCCAATCAATTGTATGTGAAATCATTTTGTTTTAAGGAAGTTCATTTTATAACCTGTGCGATACCATGCTTCACTGTTGTACCCAAGAATATTTATTGAAATAATCATATTTCTCTCTAACAATAAACCTCGATCATTGAATATATGCACTGGCAAAAACTTTCACATGTTAAGATGACATTTAGGCCTATCGAGCCGGGTGAAATAATCTTGTTTTTGACAATTGACTTTGTTAAAACTGCTTATAATACTGTACGTTTGTAACGTCACTTTTCATTGGATAATCTTGATGTTTATATAGTTTTATATCCACGGCTGCTGTCAATTTATAAAGAAATCTCACTTTTTTCTCTAAAAAAGGAAGTTCGCAGTATTATAAATTCGTTATAAATATTCCTGACAGGTTATATGGCCGAATATAAACGGTTGTTTGCAATATATCTCTCGCCAAGCGGCTCAACCGTTTATAAAGGGTCATATACTCTGTCAAAAATCTTTATAACTTATAATATACAAATATAATTAATAAATATTTACAAGTTACTTAAAATATATCAAAATTTAACAGGCAGGAGTTTTATATAAGAAATTAATGACCATTGTTTAGACTATGCTGTCTCTGATTACATTTCAAAGCTATTTATAATATTTGCTACATCATACAGGAAGATATTCCATTTAACCATAAAAATGATCAAATCAATGCAATCCTTTACGAAAAAGGGTTATATACCATATAATAACAAGTCATTCGTCTCGTCAGAAAGAAAAATCTACTTATATGTGTCGTCTGTCACAATACTTTGGAATAAAAATGTAACGATTTAAGAATAATGAAAATTTAAGATTACACGTAATTCAGAAAACGGACATTCATGCTGGATGTAATAAGTAAAATAAAAATTAAAAAAGACAAAGAAACCGCGACACTTTAAACTTAATTTCCAAATTTCGTAAAATAATCAACTATCTCACATATTTTAAAAGAAGGAATGCATTATTTGTTTTAAAAATCTATATATAACATTACATCAAAATTTAGCCAGTTTGTTACTCCGACTAATTTTCTTACTGTTTAAACACTGATGTAAACATACAAGTGCTCGGCTCTGGTTTAATAATATAATTTTGCCCATGGGAATTCAAATGGTACAAAATGTCTGGGAAATATGTGAACAAATTAAGATTAGCTTTTACACTGCTATAGATTAATTGATTATGTTTACCTTTTGTTTTTCGTCTGCGTTTTTTCTCCGCTATTCAGATTCGATTTTTTGATAAGCTGATCTTCTTTAATTAATGCAGGGGAATATCAATGCAAGAAGCTAATAAGCATCTAAGTAACATAGATCGTACGTCATGAAAGCATCGAAATGATTTGGATCAATGCATTTGATTCTTATTACAAAAACGTATATTTTTTCTAATGTACAGCGTATTAAAAATAAAACAGATGAAGTAAATCTGATTGATTTTGAAAATAATGATTTACTCTGGTGTTGTACATATAGTTCCTATAAGAGATCAAATTTGACCTTATTGCAAGGATCCACATGTATATATAGACTTTTTATTAATATATACTGAATATTTACAGTTTTCAATGACAACAATCCAAATATATCCGTGACTAATGACAAATATACTTAAAATGGCCATGCAGTTTGTCTTGAGAAATATTGATTTAAAATGTACATGTTCGTTCACAACATGATGAAGCGATAATTGTTAAAAAAACAGTAATAGAGATAGCATGTTTTTTTTTTATAAAATCATATCTAATTTTCTAATTTTCTCTTAATCATGATTATGTGCTATTGTCTTTTGTTGTTTATGCAAATGAAACAATAACTTGACTATGTTTTGGTTTTGGGATTAATGCGATTTGTGGGGATTGGTTATGATTTTTATATCTAATTCTAAAATTAAAAAAAATCACTTACCTGAAATTGCTACAAGGGTGGATAACCCAGTTCCCTTGGCGTTTATGCCGCATCTTTTCTTTGAGCAATGCATTTTTATTGCCAAATAATTTCATAGCAAGCTTATTATCCGAAGGTTGGAAAAATGCATAAATTTGTTCCCTCAAAAAACTAGTTGGACTTGGTTTTTCCATATTAACACTATTTGTACTATTCGGCAATAATTCCTCTTTTGGCGTGCCATAAAGGCTAGTCTCATCTCCGATAAATTGAACCTTCATTTCTGGCTTGTAGTTAATTTCAGGACTTATATAGTCACTGTATATTGAATCATCGTCCGAATCTATAGTGATCGTAATCGATGGATTTTCACGCGCACACTGCGGCAAACACGGCATAGCAGAATCTATTTTATCCTGTGTATTTGGAGTGTTTAAATTCCGTGACTGCGCGCCCATTCGTTTAAGTTTTAAACTCGGAACGCGTTTAGAAGCTCGCGGAGTTCTTTGAGTATTATCCATATTGATCGATCTTATAGCGTTTCCATTGGCCGGTTTCTTATTAAACTTAACTGAATCAGATCTCTGTATGCTTGGACATAGTGACGCAGCCCTCCTGTGTGGAGGTGTGGACAGCTTCGGTGACGAGTGTTGAGGGGAACTTCCGGTGGTAGATTCCGACACATGAACATCCCGCACGGTTTCGTCGCTGTCTGCAGCTACGTCCTCCTCCTTCGAGGTAACAGGCTGAAAAAAAGCAGAACAGATATTATGATAAATATCGATATCTGTTAACACAGTTTATAGTGATACAAATAGATCAACTTCTTTGATTAATACTGGTATTCATATTTACCGTAAATTATTCCCTGTTCGCGTTGATTTATTTTAACCCATCTTCAAGCGTTAAATAATGAAATTAAGTAAATATTTTTTTATAAATCCTTGAATAATGATTACATAAATATGGTATTTGCTATAAAGAACCGCTAAAATTCCTGATAACTACTAATTATCCAATTATGAACTTCTCGCGAAGAATCAAACGGTGCTGTAAACACGAACGTTCAGTATATAACAGTTTGAAAGAATGTATCTGTTTTCTGTATGATAATATATTAATTAACGTACTGAAGGAATTTAGTGAGCGAATTATAGATCATTGAACTGATACCTGATATTTAGATTAACGGAAGTATGTTTATTTTTAACACAAACATATTACTGTCCATAAGTAAAATTTATCAACAGAAAAAATCAATCACATCTGCCCTTCTTTAGTTCGTCTAAACACGTTACACAAGTTTTAAGATCATTTTCCATATATGATCAGAATAAATGACTGATTTTTTTTACATTTCTGTTTTTATAAAACGAGGAACGTACGGTGTTTCTTATTTAACAAATAAAAATATTTCTTCACTCAGCGATCTTATAGATTCTAGGGTTGCGTTTCCCTAGTGATATAAAATTCCAATTCATGACTTTTGTCATATTGATGTACGGGATTTTATTAATACGATATTTTTTCTCGATAGTTCACCATATAAAGGGGAGTAACTCTCGTCACACTGTTCAAAGAGAAGTGCCAAAATTGTTTACCTTATGGATAAAAGCACAAGTTATTCCTAGATAACTTACATTTGTTTTATTTGTGCTGAGAATAGAAAAAACACACCGACAATTGATACGATTAATGATTCCTTTTGGTCACGTTCAGTTGTATTAATTGTTTTTATATCAATAATTAATCGTATCAATTGTTGGTGTCGTTACTCAAATTTTAAAGACTTTAAAAGATTCCTATTATAGAAAAACGTAGTTAAAATGAAAAGAGTGATCAACAAGAGAAATATGTAAACACTCAATACAGCTGAATGTGACCAAAGGAAATAAATTGAGCACAATAGAAGAAAATAGTATTTTGATATTATTATCCGCGTAATTTCAGCTGCCATTTTGTTTTTATAGAAGACGGAAATTTGTATTGTGTTCGGAAGGGGATGATGATTGTAAGTGCGTATATTTTATCTGGCACATGAAAACAATATATAAATCTGTTTAATCTGATTTTGTTGCTTACTTAAGTCCGAATTTTCTAACGAAGAGCTATAAACTTTTTGATGACACACACTTTCTTCAGAAATAATAATCGGAACAAAGCTCCAAGCCATTGCAACACCTTTCATGTCGCATTCACAGTGAAATCAAGTGTTTTTATTATGGGACAATTGAATTGTTGCATTGCACAGTTTAACAATTAAAAATACAAATCTATCCTTAGATGGTGGTGGTATGTGTCAGCTAATCATAAGTTTAATGACCAAGTTTTTCAACAGGTTAAAGCTATCAGTGCGATTTTAAAGGGGCACATTACAGAGCAAACAACCTTCCTTGCTTACACAATGTTTTTGTTTTCTTTTTAAATAAAGTTGTCAAAAAAAATCTGAGTACACTAATGAAATTGGCTAGACAGAAGAGAAAAACACATTGCACTTATTAACATCAAAGCTGTTTTTTTTATAATATATATCATTGAATATTACGAAAGCACGATTTAAATTTTGCATGCATGAAATAAATACTCATCTGTAAGTATGGGGTGGGGTGTCTCAGCATTTACGAAGGTTTTTATCAAATAAAAAGATTTATACATGATATTTTCTAGAGAAAATAACAGCCACAAATGCAGACCAAATTACAAATCACCGAGACATTCCTTCCGTTTCCGGCAGATGAGAAATGGGTTTCCGATGCACATAATTAACATGTCGCCACTCGGGTCATCCATACCTCGTTATACTCCATGACAAACGATCCTTCTGACATGAACCTTTAAACCTTTGTCTTAACATTTACATTTACTATTTCCATATAGAAATAAAAACAAAAACCATGGCAATACTTTAACAAATTTATAAGTTACAAAATGCTATCTCTTAGGTGTTAGGTCTTAATATTTGAATAAGAGCTCGGCAAATTTAAAATTCAGATTCTGTATTATAACAAATAATGAATCAATAATAACATTTCCCTTAAGTTCAAACAGTTAAGTTTAAAATTGTAATGTACTAATAAAGCCCTCTGTTGCCCATTTAATGTGACAGAGCTTAAAGATATTTTTGGAAATTAGAAATCTATATGTTCTAGTTTTTAAACAAATATAATTATTATGCTCTTTCTTTCACAGTAAAACATTCACTATTAGAAGGCCCATGAATACAATGTCTAGTGCAGGACATCCTTCTTCGGTACTTGGTGTGCGTTATCGCTTTCTCATTTGAAAACATTTTTTTTCTTTAAGATAACAAGCACGGTTCAACCTTGATAACTCACACGTTCTTATTTAATATGTGTACAATCCAATTATATGACTTTGTCTGTTGGTAACGTGTACGCTTGATTAAATAAGACGCTAGTTGTTACTAGATAACATGCACGATCTTTGATGCAACGCTGGTTCTCTTTATATAACAAACAAATTCTCATAAGATGCAATGAACAGTCCCTTAAGATAATCTAGAATCATGTGTTTTGTTGCACTATCATGTGTTGTGTTGCACTATCATGTGTTATGTTGCACTATAATTTTTCCGCCTTTTTGATTGGATATTGATCACCCGAAAGAAATTGATATAACCGAGCCAGACGGGTAATATACACACTAAATTTCCCCGTTGGGTACCCAACGTTGTAAACAACATGCGCTGAGGTGATGCGCGTACGGTTCGATTTTACGCGGTGTAAATTCCGATTTAAAAGCACTTTTTAACTGTCAAATGAGAAATATTTACCAAAGTAGAGTAACCATACATATAACCATCAGTATCGAAAACAAATATGACCTTGTGAAAGCTTGATATTAATTACAAAAAGTGCGTTCAACAGACTACTCCTTCTCTCTTGTTTACATTCGTTAGGTACGGGAAAAAATACGTCATGTATATATGTGACGTCATGTTGAGACGAAGAGGTACCCTAAAGGGAATCTTATTTCGACGTTTCATTTGAAACAGCAATAATTTTTTTTAAAAATCGTCTAAACTCGGCAGGGGAAGGGTAATAAAATTATTATTTTGGTTTTGGAGTGATATATGTGGATATATTACCTGCCAAGATAAAATATCGCCCTCGCCTAACGGCTCGGGTGATATAAAATCTTATCAGGTAATATATCCACATATATCACTCCAAAACCAAAATAACATATAATGTTTCAATCAAAGCAAAAATATTTCTACAAAAGTATAACAAATACATACAAAATGATCTACATCGAAATATGGAACCATATAAAAAAAACTTCTCATAAATGATTAATTCTAATAAAAGACGCTTTGCATAGTTTACTTTCTCAGAAACATGAATTTGAATATTTAACCCGCTTTTGCATGAAATGGAACAATTGGCTATGGCGCCACAGTGACATCACTTTGATATTATAAGTGTCCTTTTTTCTTAATGATAACATGCTGTTCCACTTATTTTCTAAATTATGCTTGATTTATCGTAAACGTATCAAACTAAGATTTAATGTTTTGAATTTATAAGAAAATGCACAAGAAAGTGCATGTACCTGATAATCTATTGCACCCAAATCGAATGAAACTTTTTTAATTCCTTTCATTTTCCCTTCTTATCAAGAGTACGTTTGAATGTTTTAAATAATATTTAAAGTGTTGTTAAACAAAATTGATATCAGAGGTAATTTTACAGTTATATCATCAATTTTGTTGAAAGATCCATGTTGTATTGTAAAGCATTGAAAAGATAAATATTTCTAATATTTGCTTGCCGCTGTTCAAAGACTTTTAAACTAAATTATTCAGCTAGTTATTACTTCCCAAACATTGGATATTTGATAGCATTTGAAACTATATTTGATATGTGAGGTTAATCTATATTAATTTGATGGCCAAAAAGGTCCTTGCTACGACAGAAAAAAAATGATTGATTAAGATTGAATTAAAAATTGATTCAGTAATGCTTAAACATTTATTTTGATTGTGTTGAAACATACGCCTTATAATTATACGATATATGTTCATGTCTTTTGACAAAAGATACTAGTACCTTTTCAAAAAAATGTTTTTGTTTGAGGCATATACTGTACTGTATTGAGGTACATACTGTATGTGTGGAGACTGATACAATATTTGTTTTGCTATTTATTTAAGTACGTATTTTAATATTTGCGCAGGAACATGATATTATCAGTAGTATCCGAAAGTTTACCTTATTATTATATCATTGGCATAGTGCTTCATTTAGCAATTATGTATTTTATAATTTTATAATCTTTTATAACTATAATTATGAAATTTTCTTACACCCATACATCCAATTGACAGTTTCGTATAGTATCTTGAAATACTTGCAATCATACAATTTACAATGGAGAGTTCAATTTCAAAGCAGGGCAACTCAATTACTTAATTGAATCAAGGAAAGTAAAATCAATACAATACCTTTTACTAAACATGTTCAACTTTTGTTGACTTATTACATGGCAGAACGCTTAAAGCTTACCAATCAAAATAATCAACTAAAGCTGCCCTGGCGTTATATTGCTTACAGTAAATTATGTTCTTTGTGCAATTTTGCTGTTTTAAATCGTGCTATATCATGAAAATAATTTTCATTTTTACATGGTACATATACTCGTATTAATCGATTGTGTGAAAACAATACAAAATTCAAAGAACGTAAGTGTTAGCGAAATTATCAAAGGGTTTGTTTAACATCTACTTAATTAATGAATGTGTTCCCTACATAAAGTAAACACTAGCATTAAAGGCATGTCGCCAATAATCACCGAGCAGTCTGTCAGAACGTACCGGTATTTCTAACATGTCAACAATATTTGTATTGCTATATTTAGAATAGAACAGTCAAATATGGCGTTCAGCATACTTGCATACAATTAAAACAACGATATTGTCGTGTTTAAGCACAATTAACCTTTTAAATTATGAGAGACATTAAGACTCATCGGCTTTTAAAACGCATTAAAACTGGCTATATATCTTTTTGCATTACTAATGTTCGAAATAACTTGGACTAAGCGTACATAAATATATAAAAATAAACCAACTATTCCAAGCTAAAATATCGGTTTTTAAGATGCATGCACTAAAAAAATACCGGTTTCACGTTTGTCGGGGGAATTCCAAAAAGAATAGGAAAAAAAGATAACGTAATTTATTAAATAATATGTGTATGAGATCATTTTCATATTTATTGGAAAAAAGACACTAAGAGAAGTATGACCTTACCAGTAATTTATCTTTGTCTCCGTTCCTTGTATCCATGTCTGATTTAGCGTCTTCACGGTAAGGTTCAGTGGGTGACCCCGCTTCGAGAGACATTGTTACTCTCGGCCGAACTTCCAAATATAATATTCCTGAAAATAAAGTTAAAGTAGTACATTAATATGAGCCGCGTCACGACAAAACCAACAAAATGGGTTTGCGACCAGCATGGATCCAGACCAGCCTGCGCATCCGCGCAGTCTAATCAGGATCAATGCTGTTCGCTTACAACTCTATAACAAGTACAGAAACTGATAGCGAACAGCATGGATCCTGATCAGACTGCGCGGATGTGCAGGCTGGTGTGGATCAATGCTGGTCGCAAACCCAATATGTTTGATTTTTCATGACGCGGCGCATATAAGAATAATACTTTTCAGCTAATTAATCGAGGGCTTAGAGCGTAACTGGTTCATCTTTCTAAAGAAAAAGAAGCAGATAGACCAGTTTCGCTCTAAACCCTCAAAATACAAAGAGGCCATTTCAGAAAAATATTAATAAAACAGTATTTAATGAAAGTCATAATGTAATAATGTTATTTAAAGTAAAACTTTACAGCATGTTAAAAAGAAGAACAAAAAATCAATTTGAAAGAAAATTAAGTATGAAATACCTGAAATTACAATTTATGACATTATCAATTAGTATCCCAACACAAGAATGCAATCTAGAGTATATATCATGTTTTAGAAATTATTGTACGAGATAATAATAGGACCGTTATCAGCAAGATCACTTAGCTTAACCAACTAATATAATGAATTCCCCCAAGCCCTGGTTGACGGCAGCGTTTATTATTACTTATTACAATGTGCACAATGACATACAAAAGAGATATTTACATTACATAAAAGCTTCTGAGATCACTCTGAAAGAAAGTTTGTCTGTGACTTTTCAGTTGTTAGCGTTTTTATCAGATGAATATTGATTGATTTTTCTTTTGTAAAAATGCCATGTCAGTGCATGTATAATAGAATGAGAGACTGAAGAATGAAGAGATATTGAATCCCTGTTTCCAATGGAAACTGCTAAAACATACATAGAACTTATAATTTTACTCAGCTTCAATATGAAAACAAGTCACTTGTAATTGGATAAAATAACGCAAGTACTAATTTGGGGCATAATGCCTAAATTTACGATTGTGACAATGTTTGACATTTCTCTCGTTTTATCCATTTGTATTCAATACATTACAGAAGATAGGTCATTGTGTATATTAATTGCTTTGTAATTTATTATAATTATAACTATTAAACTTACTGTAATTGTATAAAACTTATACAAAAAAGGATGTGAACATTGAGATATGGTTGTAAAATGTCAACGTAAATGATTGAAATGTATAATGAAAAAAAAATAAAATAAAAAAGATTATGCGAAAAAAAAGAAAGAAAAAAGCATAAAAAACTCGTGAACTTTAAACACTTCTCTATTTGTTTAAACAATACATTGATCGTTTAAAGCATTGATCTGAAACTCTAGCTGATTGTATATCAGTCCAACCAATAAAACGAGTACAATAAGGAAGTCTTACAACAGCTTATACACTGGAGGTAATCAAAGGCGCTGATAGAGACGATCTTTTTTCTTGATTATTTCCCATGGAACACTTTGACGCTTCCCTCTCATTTGCGTTATTTATATACATAATTTCTCAAAATATACCTCTTTTTACTTTTGTATAAATCGTTTTCTACGATATGCGAACGCCCAGTTTTGTTTTACAAGACGGGAAAACATAGAATCTATTCCTAATAGGGAAAATGTCATTATGATTAATTCTCAAACACCGCAAGTAAACTAAGAATTAATTAGTCCAACAATAATATGCTCATAATAATGTCATATCGTATGAATTATGCGGTTAGCTGCTGTATATTCAATCAAAATATGGTTATAACGTACTATTTCCAAGGAAATGGCTACTTGTTTTCTTTATCATAATCATTGTCACAATATAATGTTTGTCGTATTTTAAATAAACGAAATGATATAAAATCTCAAAATCTCAAAAGTATCTCGACAAACATGTATGAATGCATCGGAAGTATTGCATAATGATATGACAGAGCTATATCTGAGGATATTCAATATCTTCCGGTATAATATTTTACTGTTCAACTATTTAAAAGGATCGTATGACAATAATTTTGTTACATGTCACATTCATTACATATTCCTGGCAATTGTTTTCAGTCAATTATGTAATTTACAAATGTATTAGTTTACATATACGCATAGCTTATGTTAATTCATTCAATAAAATATTCAAAGACAAGTAACTTGTACTAAAAGCAGTAAGGATATAATCTTCCTTTGTATTCCTGGCTCATGCTCAAGATTATATAAATATTTTGAATTGACAAATATTGGATTGGACTGATCGCTTCTGTTCGTCTGCTACAGTAACACCTCAGGTCATCTAAACATCTAAATGATAACTACACCAATCTAATGGAGAATATTAGACGAGAAAATATGATGAATTGGATAATAAAACAGGCGCGGCAAGCAACAATATATAAATGTCTGAGTTCGCGCAAACATTGTATGTTGATTGTCCTTGTAACAAGTCGATTGATTTTTCTGGAAGATAAACATGAGAAAGAAAAGTGCTTTTTACATATCGTCCGTTCTTATATTTGTTTCCAAATTTTACAAAAAGTGAGTATATACTTTGAATAAGAGAAATCACAAACTATGTTTGAGAAGCTACATTCCCTATTACTGGTCAAGTCAATTCGGTCCTTTCTTAAAAAAGTTGCTACAAGTTTTTTGTTGACACTATGTATTCATATTATATCTTATTGTCGTGTGTAGAGATTACAGCAAAGTGTATACATCATAAGATGTTTATTTTACATTTAGAAATTAAGTAAATATCTATTATACTACAGTATTTTTGGTAGAGTTTTACGTCCCACCAACAAAGTAAAGGTCATATGGCGACTTTCGAGATTTACTGGTGGAGGTAGGAAGACCTCAGGTGCCCCTTCAGTTTTGAAATTTAACTTTTTACATTATTTTAGGTATAATTGGGTACCTGAACACAATCCCGACATTCTGTAAGCTTCCTGGATTGCTTTCTCACATGCAGACTCTTATACTACAGTATCTACATCAAAATTTTACAATAATCGCATACCTATCCAAGCTTATCATTGCGTTTCATACAACAGAGTTTCAGTTCAAGAGTTTATGAAACTATTAAATGATCATTTTTATTCTGATGGCAAATTTATACACTGCTAACATCATATACAATAATTCTAAACTTAGGAGAATATCTGACAGTTTGTTCTTATTATTAAGATGCTGTGCCAGGAAAAAGTGTTATCTGTTATGGGTGTTATTATAACAAAATCCTTAATCTCATATTAAATTAAAAAGATATAAGACCTTTAGTAGGTCGTACCTTAATCTTGATTATGCGTTATACTTTTATAAGTTAACAATATTACAAAAGGCAACCCACGTTTAATTTTACACCATTCTGTAAATCTTTTAAACATTCTACATGTATCTTTAATACAACACTTTCGCCAGGTGCAAGCCGCTGTTTCCTTAAGGAAGAAATTTAACTGCTAAGTAATAGTTGTTTGCAGAAACAGTTTGGGAATGTGTCTATCAACTTACAGCTTCCTGCACAATCGAACTATAATACAGTTTTTATAAACTAATACCATAATCAAAATACAGAAATAATTATTTACAAAACGCATAAAATAAATGAAAAATAGCTTTTCTGTACCGATATAGAAAATAAGATAGAGAGAAAAAACCCGGAATCTTAGGAAAGCCCAAAACGCCAAATTGAAAACGTTGCAGGCTCGGTTTGATTTTAGCCTGTTCATGAATGGTACTTGTAATTGCAAGTTAACGTCCATGCTTTAGCAAAATTCCACATATCTACAAGCTTCATACATGAATATTTGTAATCTCATTCTTCTTTCATCTCGGATGGTACTTTAAAGTTCATTACACCAGCCTATTAGGGGATTGCAAATGATGAAAGGTTTTCAGTTTTGAAACTAGAATACTTAAATATTACAATTTGTCATAGAGGAACACATCACAATACACTAGAAACTTGATGTTATAATTTTAGTTCTATTATGGAAATAAGATGGTTTAATTCACCAAGTTAACATAATTTAATGCAGCGTTTTCTATTGACTTAAACAGACAAGCCTAGTCCTTTTATCAAATGCCGAACAAAGTATCACTGGTCAAATTTTAGCATATTTCTTCTAATTTATCAACTTTAAAAGGTACGTTTGATTCTTTTCAAATACATCTTTCATGTTTGATCTATAACTTTTATTCAATTACTGAAAACTGAATGTGTAATAAAATGTGTTTTGGGTAAGGCAATCAATATTAGTTTAGGCGAATAGAGGAAATCTTGCAGATCTTGAAAAGAATAAAGTTAATAAATATTTCTTTTTGTCTAAAGAAAAAAAGGAGTATTTTGTATATCGCATCAGATTGCATGATGTATAAATAAGTAAAATATACTGAAAATTGTTTTAAAACTTACTTGCAGAAAATTAAATTCACAATATCAAATACATCCACAAGGTTAACATTAATATTCCTTACGTTATTCATATATCGTTAACATATATTTTTATCTGACGAACACACACATACACTGTGAGCTAACAGGCGTGTTTTCCATATCATATCATGAATTTATTTTCTATAACTACTTGTGTAAACAATTATTATTATTATTTAGATTTTTTCCGGGAAATAAGTATGTCATGATTTTTGTTACAAACACATACAGAATTATTTCCACTAACAATTGCAGTCACGATTTAATTTGAAAATGTGTTGTCAATATACATAGCCTTTTGCGTTTTTTTCACATTAGAATTTAAAAACAAAATGTTAATATACTGCGAAAAGAAAGGGGGTATAAAAGAATATGTTGAACTTTATGCTTCAAGCAATCACAGCAAATAAAGTTTTTATATTGATGGTGATATCGAGCGTTTCGCTAATGCTTATTAACATTTTCCGTAAAAGACTGTATTAAATGACAATACATGAATGGGTAAATATCAATGAACAATAAAAAGCT